TGAAATACAGGATGAGAAGTCACATTTTTGCTGGAGATTTCAATGAGTGATTAGACAACGATCCCGCATGGAGTTCACAGTTTTACCGCAACAGCGCCACTAACTGAACACTGCTGCGGTGCTGCGCTCTATCTCTGAGAGACCAGACTAACACTGTCATGAGTGAAGGGGGCGTAGTTCTTCAGCGTAACGGTAGAGCGCGTTATATGCTACCAAATTTCGATTGTGGATTAAACTAAAACCATTTTCGATATTGGGTGTTGTATATTACATTATGTAATAAATAAACACTCTCAATCAGCATAATCACATTAATACATTAATCAAACTACAGCAATTACCTATTAAAAGACTTAGGATTTCTCATAATTACATCGCAAAGTTTCTAAGGGTATTCAACATAAATTCCAACGACAACATACATTTTACGGTCGAGATATCGGTCTACATTTTTCAAAACACTCGGAACACTTTTATTGAGCCCCAGTACCCTGTAATTATTTATTGTGGACAGTGCAGAATTTTAAAAATATATGCCGTGGTATGCGGTCGTCATTATAAATCTGGATGAGCAACCATTCAACAGGAGTGGATAATTCTTCTTAATTTTTGGCATTAAAATTATACTCCGTTGATTTTACAGGAAAAAATATATTCCCTGAAAAAGTAAGAAACTAACTGTCATATGCACACTATAAACGTTAAGAATTGATGATAATTCAACCTAAATGTGTATAGAAAGAAATATTTAAAAAACTATTTTTCCATAGATTTAGTGTTAACTTTTATGCCCACAATTGGACGAGTAATGCAACTGTATTCTTGTTTTAAATTATGGTCTGGTTTTAGAAGCCCGTAATAGGGCGGGTAGTGATATAAAACAAAAACCTATTACATAGCTTATAGGAGTTATCACATGAGATAATTCATACAAATACTAATAACTGCATATATGCACTTTACGCATACGTTTAAGTAAAAATATATAATCAAATTCACATTTTTATAGAAGACATATAGTGTACCGCGTTGCCCGAGTATTCATTTATCACAGCAATATAATAGACAGGTATCCTAACTGTTCCCCTCTATTCCACCTACTATCAATTATAGTACATCATCGGCCTTCCACGCCCATCCATGCTTTGTCGTGTTCTATTACTTGTTATTCTTCTGCTAAATGGTTTAGACAACACGAACAGTTACAATTCTCTTCTGTCGATTCATTTGACTTTAATAATTATTAAGCTAGTTGGGAAGCGTATTTTGCAAAAACATATTCTTTGACAAATAAGCATATTTTGAGGTAACATTTTGAATCACAACTACGCTATTTTTATTCTTGATAGTCCAAAAGTATTCGTGACAAAGGTAGAAGCAACTACTCTAGTTGTGTCACATGAATCTATAAGCAATTTAATCCTTCTTTAATATATTGACATAACACAATTTTAAAATACCCACCGGACGTGCCGTATAAAGGCAGTAATCTGTTGTTGCATATATCTTTAGTGTTGAAGTTACAAATACTTATTAAATGTTCCATTAAATACCATAGTTGTTTGAAAGGTTGAATTTTAAAATAATGAAATACAGAGATAAATTTTAGCTAAGGAAATTTTTGTGATTGCTTACAAGCCCTTAAGAATATTGCCACTCCATTTAAAAAACAGAATATAAACAATGATATATGAAAGAGATGGGGCAGCAAGCAGATAAATAAAAATTGGCACAGAAGCCTCCGGTATTTGTGAAAGTTAATTCCTAAATTTTGATCGACGTTTGGCTTACCTAGAAATATCTGTTCATAGCCTTATCAAGACCACTTGAGTTTGTATCAAGGTGAACCTTTGTTCTAAGTAAAGATATTATCATTCAGTGGCAGTGAAAGACTTCTTGCGACTGTTACTGCCCTATGCCGTTCATTTTGAACACTAGTATTTTTATTAGAAGGAAATTATTTGCCAGAAGATTATTCCAAGATAGCCGAGGGGGGCTAAGAGCGCGTACCGACTCAACACTCCGGTCCGAAGGGTCGCGGGTTCAAGTCTCGCCTTGGGCTCGGATGTTGGTTCCTTATCACTCGTGTTTGTGTTGTCGCGGGGGTATCACGGTTTGCTGACTCCATATCAGAGTAACCAGCATGTGTGTTGGTGTCTAGTGTATGGTCCAATGTGCATCCCATCGGGACTTAAAGAGTAACCGGCTGTAGGATGGGGAAAATCCTGGAAAAAATGATTCCTTGGCTTCTCGTGGCCTCGTGCTCCTCTGCTCTGGTCCGACCACGAGCGCGCGGTGAGGCGACCTCCGGAGGCTTTGGTCGACGACCTCTGCCCGCTCTCGGCGGCATCACGACTCGCACGATGCCTTCGCTCACGCCCACTCACGCCCTGCCCCGGC